TACATCTCCATTCTGCCACTTCGTCATATTTTAATTCATACACGTTAGCAGATGATTAAACATCCATGGCTCCAGCCTTATCAGAATATTACACTTCATTCTTAGCTGAAGGACGCCGCTCTCATGTCATTTCCAAATCTTTACCACTAACAGACTGAAGATTATAACTGTATATCCAGAGGAACCGTCTTAATTAGATTAAAACATCAGTTCTGACACGCAACATGCAGCCCATACATGCAGTTGATGATGTGTGATAAACTCACACATCATCAACGTCTAATTATCTTAATAATCAGAAGTTTTTGTATTTGCAACTTTAAATGATACCTTGAGTATATTTCATAGAACGCCCCTAAGCCAACCTTAAAGCTTCAAATCCCATTGTTTAGATTAGGGTGACCAGATTTGGGTTTCTTACATCTGGTTAACCTCTCAATATGAAAAATGGACACTGGTTACCAGAAACAGGATCATGGGGTCAGCAAATCATGGCTCCAGGGCTGCATACGGTTCTTTAATGCACCAAAACACCAAAAATCTGATTTCTTTATTGTGTTTCCATAATTCTGTCAATGCAACAAAACATAATACATTAATATTATAATGGCATTTAAACTTAAAGCACCAAATATCATACAACAAATGTATGTTTTATGAATATAAAAATCAATTAGTTAAATCAAAACATTGTGGTCTTCATTATTTCATAAAACTGTCACAGGTGAACCTTTTAAGATTTGCTATGGACACAGATTAGGAAACTACTTTTTGGGGAAGTATTAAATGGATGCAATAACTAATGTGAGAAAAAAGTCTAAGGACAAAAAAGAAAAAGAATATGAGGAAAAACGTCATATTTAGAATAAAGGGGGGAAACAAATCCAGAATAGTCAGAGTTCGCAGAATTATTTTAGTCCTTAGTTAGATTCTTTTAAATATTTTAATTCTTTACGAGAATAAAGTCAGAACGAAGACAAAGGGATACGAAAATAAACTAGTAATATTACAAAGATCAAATATTACGAATATAAAGTATATTCTGAGATTAAAGTCCCTCTGATACTGTTTAAGTGCCTTGAGTTCAATTCTATTCAGTTTATTTCTATAGCAACAATTNAAGGGGACCAACCAAGGACCCATCAAGGAAAGTTTAGGGAAACTGTGAATGGCTGCTACTGTACAAGAAAAAGGTTTCCACCTTAGACTTTACTATGTATAATAAAATGTGCAGATTTTTTAATTCATTAAAATCTGTCAAACTAATTAATGGATCTTGACTAAAACTAGAATGGCTGCCAAAAAGCAACACTTAAATTATTTATAAATGTCTGTATTTGTGTAATTGCAGCATCAGTGGGGGTTGATACGGCCGCCCTGGATCAAATGGCAATCGTTAACTTATCAGACCAGGAGGCCTTGGATGACTTTCTGAATTCCAGCGGTGAAGATTCGAGTTCTGGATCATCTCTTACTTCAGGTAATTCAGACTAGTTTAGAATAGAGTATATGAACAATTACAGTGGTTACAAATGGTACTGAAGTCGACACGCCGATAATTAAAGAAGTCTCCAGGTTCACTATGAATAGAGTTAGTTTTTACTTGAATGAAAGTTAACTTCTTTTCCTTCAACCTTTTTATTGTTTTGTCTTATTTTAACAGGTCCAGACCTTCAGTCATCCTCTTTGGAGTCCTTGAATCAGATTTCCCCCACAAACACCGGTCAGTTAACGGAGGTTGCAGAGTGGCAGCAGGAAGAAGGAGCCAGTGAGGAGGGTGAAAAGCCCCTGGTACAATCTGATGAGGAGGATGTACAGGCAGACACGTCCCTGGTTGCCGTCCAGGACATCCCTGCGTCCTCGGGCTCTGATGAGAGTGACTCTGCAGGGGACAAACCCTCTGAGTGATGCTGAAGTTACACTGAGAGCAAACATCCTAATATAATTCTTCAATAAACACTTCAGCTTCTGCTCCTGCTTTGGCCTAGTGAGGGTTTTTCTTCTATGAAATCAGTAGGATTCAAATCTAGCCCTCAGCAACTGTCATCCTTCATGCTTTATCTGTCTCTGCAGGAGTCTGGTAATGACCAGTTTATTTGATTTAGAGGTCTTAAAGCAGGGGAGCATCGTAAACATGCAGCGTAAGTGGTCCATGAGAACAGAAACAAGTTATTAAAGCGCACACTGTCAATGCTGTGGACCTTCTGCTAGACTCATCCTGCTGGTTTCTATTAAGCTGGGCATACACTCAACGATTTTTTTTTTTTGCCCTTTTTGGGCCGATCTTCCAGTCATGCGAGAAATTTTTCGGTCGGGCCAACTTTCGGTCTTTTGTGTCATGTGTGGTGTAGAGTACAGCGGGTCACGAGGGGTGATCAGCCTCTCACCATCATCTCACCATCAGGAATCGTAAAGTCAGGAGAATATCAAATATGTTTGAAATCCAGTCGGCCGTCCTAAGGTGGTCGAGGGTAAATCACACAGTGGGCAAACAAGGATTCTTCCTCTCAGATGTAAACCCAGCAGCATGGCGGGGGGGCAATGAGTGAAATGGAGTTCTTCCTGTCAAACTGTCAGACCGTAGTAGCCACGTTAGCTCAGCCATGTCTTTGTCCAAATACGTCGTCTCCTTTTCTTTTCAGGCCTTTTTAGCACAAAATATCCAAGGCAGCGTGTTTCAGTCTAGTGAGCTTCATGTTCCTCTGCTACTGGTTTGGCTTCCAGATAGACGAGTCAGAGTAGCGCCATCTCACTGCGGAGCTGAGTCCCACCTGGTTTTTAGACGTACAGTGTGAGCAGGTAGATCGCATCAGAGCGTCGGGTCGCACAGTGTGAGAACAAACATCATGAGCTGCGAATCTTTAAGCGCTGTGGTTTCGTCGTACAGTGTGAGCTGTAGTGCAACTATTGAAAAAATTGTACAGCGTATGCCCGGCTTTAGTGGCTTGTTTTTCATCAAAGTAGAATCATATCAGTTTCCCTTTATACGCTGGGATACTTTAGTCCTCGCAGAGCTTTTTTTTTTTCTGGCCTCAGAGATTTCAAACATCAAACACTTGGGTTGATTGAAGCAGAGAAGTCTGACTATTTTGTAGCATTTTGCACTTTTAAAATTTCTGTATAATTTTTCCTGCAGCCCCTACAGTGGTATGACATCTCTAGTCTGTCAGAAATAGGAAAAAAGGTAAACTAACCTTTTAGTGAGAATAAGTTTCGCTAATGGCATTATTAATCAGAACATGTTGCTTCTTCGCAAAACTTAATTTGGACAATCTGTATTAATAGTTCCATGGCGTTAAAGATTTCTAATAAAGCATTCAGTTAAGCCACAGCAAAGGGTTTTAGAATTTATTTGTGGAAAATTGTCTTTTTAAAAAGGCCTTGCTCTGAGTCACCTCACCATCTCACATTGACCAAACTCTTGTTAA